TTGGGATTCCCTGGGAGGATCTCGGGGGCCTCTTGGGGCCGTCTTGGGCCGTCTCGGGGCCGTCTTGGGCAGTCTTGGGGCGCTCTTGGGCCGTCCTGGGGCCTTCTTTTGGGCCTCATAATGGGTCTCGGGGAAGCCGTCTGGGGCCGGCTTGGGGCCGTTTGGGGCAGTCTTGGGAACTCGTGGGCTGTCCTGGGGCCTTCTTGGGGGCCTCATGGTTGGTCTCGGGGGCCTCTCGGGGCCCTCTTGGGCCGGCTTGATGCCGTCTTGGGCAATCTTGGGGCGCTCTTGGGCCGTTCTGGGGCCCTCTTGGGGTCCTTATGAGCGGTCTTGAGAGGATTCGCGGCGCCTTTGGAGCCGTTCCGGCTCGAAGAAGCCCGAAGCGAGAAAATCATGAAACACCAATGGAAAATCAATGCTTTTTGCCCCCTGAAGCCCTGGTCGAAATCGTCAAGAGAGCCTCTGGGGCCACTCGGGCCCTTCAGGGGCCCTGGGGGGGCCGTTCGGGGAGCGCCGGCGACGGACCAAGACCGTTCCGGGGCCGCCGGCGACGGACCAGGGCCCCAGGAGCGCCGGGGGCCAGGCCGAGTCCACTCGAGGGGGCTTTGCACGCACTGATCCCGGTATTGTAGTATAGATGAAGGGGGCGAACCCATGGACTTCGTCCGCGTCATCTTGGGCCAGTCTTGGCTCGAAAAGGCCGTCTTGGGCCTGTCTTCGGTCTAAATGGCGAGAAAGTGGAAATCTTTCAGAAACCATCGAAGAATCAATGATTTCGTCTGCCGCGGCTCGTCTGGAGCGTCTTCGAACGGTCTCGGGCCGTCTCGGAGGCCCTCTTGGACCGCTTCCTTCTCTTCGTCCGCCTTCCGCTCTACCTCCGCCTAGACAGCCTTCGGAGCGTCACAGACGGCTATGGTGGGTCTGCGGTGTACTTCTCGCCGTTTGCCAATCTTGAAAGCACCTGGCGCCTAAGTCACCCTGAGGGCTCTGGTGACTTTTTTTCTGGTTGCCTCTTCGAAGCCTGATGGCGGGCGCTGCCGTCTCCTTGGGAACGGTTAGTGGGCCTCTCGGGGTTTCTTTTCGAGCTCCTGGGGGCCTGTTGGGGCCTCGTTGGCTGTCTTGCGGCCTCCTAGGGGCCTCTTGGGGCCCTCTTGGGCCGTCTTGCGGCCTCCTGGGGGTCTTTTCTCTTGATTCTTTTTGGGGCGCCTCTGGGACCGTTCCCGGGCTGTCCCCCGAGTCGCTTCCAGGGGACAGCCCAGGAAATCAATTGTGCTTGCGTGCTGTGCGTGCGTGCTCCTGTGTGAGAGGTCGGAAGGGTGTCCCGACGTCACCGCTCGCTCTTGGGAGCTGCGCCTGGAAGAGCTCTCTACGCTGCGTCTCGCTCTTGGGAGCCTTGGTGAGAAGAGCTGTGTACTTCACCGATCGCTCTTTTAGTGGGTGTCTCTGGGCCTGCTTGGTGGTCCTTGTGGGGGCTTGTTCGGGCCATTCTGAGGCTTTTTTGGGCTGCTCTGGGACTGTTTTGGGACGTTTGGGGGCCTTTTTGGGCCGTCACGGGGCGTCCGGCCGGGAGGCCTTGGACCGTCTTGGAGCTCTTTTGAGGCTGCCAGAGGCCGTCTTGGGAGCCTCTTGGGGCCCCCTCGGAGCTCTCTTGGGGCCGTCTTGGGGTTCTGCGAGGCCGTTTCAGGGCTCTTTGGCGTCGTCTTGGGGCTCTTGTGGGCCGTCTTGGAGACCTCTTAGGGGTCTGGGACCCCTCTGGAGCGCCTCTGGGACCAGCCTGAGCGATTCGGCCCCGTGGTGGCGCCGTAAAGGGGCGATTTTGTGCACACGAGGCGTGAACCATTCTCGCACGCGCTTCCACTGGCCATATAGGAGAGACTAGTGAACCCGTGGATTAAATCCACGGTGTGCTGAACCTGGGACTCGCACACCATGGGTGAACAACTCATCGAAGTTGAACAGCTCGGGCGCCCCTGGGGCAGTGTCGGGACCGTCTTGGGGCCGTCGTGCCAGAGGGTACGAAGAGGGCCCCCAGAGGGCCCCAAGAGGGCTCCAAGAGGGCCCCAGGACGCCGCCGGGCGCGGGCCCACCATTCTGCCACGATAGGCCTGTCTGCGGCAGAATGCACCTGGCCTTGTCTTGGAGGGGCCCGAAGGCCTCAAGAGAGCCGCAAGAGCGCCCCCAGGGGGCCCCAAGAGGACCCCAAACCGCATGTACTGGATATGCTTCTTGGGCTTGCGAGAGGGGCACCCAAGTACATGCGTCATGGGGCCTTGTCGGGGCCCTCTTGGGGCTCTGCCCCCCCCTTGGGGCCCCTCGGGAGCGCTCCCACCCTGTCCTGGCCCCCTCTTGGGGCCACTATGGGCGCCTGAGGAGCCGTCCTGGCGCATTCTTGAGCCGTCTTGGGGCCCTCCAGGCAGCCTCCTGAGGCGTCTTGGGACCATCTTGAGGGCCTGTCTGGCCGTCTTGGATGCTTCGAAGACGAAAAGCACGGTAACTCCTGAAATGTACGTTTCCCCTAAGGATTGGGACGATTTTTTCTTGTTCGGGCTCTCCTGGGGATCTCTCTGGAGCCCACTTGGAGCATTTTGGTGGCCTCTTGGGCCGTCGGGCGGCTGTCTTGGGCGTCTTCGAGCGCTCGGGGCCCGTCTCGGAGGCCCCCTTGGACGGTCTTCGGTCGTCTTCGGGCCCTCTTGGGGGCCTCCGGGGGCTCCGAGCGCCTGCCCGCAACGGGCCGAGCTGGGCCGATGCCGCCGGGCCCTCTTGTCGCACGCGCTGATTCCGGTACTGTAGTATAGACTAGGGCCGACCCGTGGACGATGTCCACTTGCGGGGTGAAGCGTGTGAGGACCTCTTGCGGTGTCATTGCAAAGTGGGGCTCGACCCTCGCATGCGGCGCATGTCTCTGCGTGGTGTTGCTTGCTGCCGCTGTTGCATGTTGTTGGTGATGCTTGCCGCTGCTGCGTGTCGTTGTCGCTTGTGCCTGAAGGGTGCTGCTGATGGCAACGTCTACTTGGTGCGTGCTGCTGACCGCTACCTGCTGCTGTTTGCTGCTGCAGAGCGCTGACGCTCTTGCTGCCTGCTTCGAGTCTCGTGCTGCTGCCTTCGGGTACTGGGGGCATTCTGAGCCGCCCCAGGATGATCTTGAGCCACCTAAAGGCTGTCTTAGGGCCAAGGCTGGAAATCAAGAAGCAACAGTGGGTCTTCTTGTCTAACCAGTGCTCCATGGTGGCCGTGGCCGCCCGAGGAAGTCAGAGGATGCGCGCGGGCTGCGTGGGCCAGGGAGAAGATCGAAGGCACTGCGGATTATGACCCCAAATGGCCAGCCTGTCCAGAGCACTATCAGAAAGACCTCCTGGACGAATCGCCCATTCAGAACGGAGCCTTTGCAAAAGAGGAAAGAAAATCAGAGACAAGAGGCTCCGAAGACGGCCACGTTAGCCTCCAAGACGGCCCTGAAGCGCCTCCTTGAGTGCTCTCCGACGGCACAGTGAGGCGCCCAAGACGGCCTCCGACGGGCCAGGAACGCCCTGAGGCAGCCAAAACGGCTTCCGAGAAGCCCTCGAAAAGGCTCAAACACCCCCTCAAGAGGCCTGCTCCTACGACGGCCCCAAGAGGGCCCCAAGACGGCCTCACAGGCCCCCTAAGCGAACCCGAGCACCATCGGGAGCGCCCCGGATCGGCAGTACTGGCCGGAGGCCACTACAATAAGACGCGCATGGGCGCCTTCTTTTCCTGGGTGGCAGGCGCGGTCCCAGCGCTCTCCGAGAGGCCTTCCCTCGGAGGCCTCTTGGAGGCGGCTTTGGGGGGTGTCTCGAGGCGTCTCGAGGCCCTCCTGGGGCCTGACTTGGGCCTCTTGGGGGGCCTTCGGGGGCGCCTGGGGGGCCTCTCGGGGGCCAGCTGGTGGTATCGGGGATCATCCTGGAGCGCAGGGCGCGAACTGTCAGTTCGAGCTCCCCCTCGTGGGGCCCTCTGAGGGGCGTCTCGGGAGTTTCTTGGGCCGTTTCGGGGCCCTCGTGGGCTGCTTGGAGCTCCCAGCGTGGAGCTCCTGGAAGCCCCAGGGCTGGCTTGGAGCGTCGGGACACCGAAAAGGCGAGAACGCTGAAACCCCCTTCAAGAACCCAAGGGGAACAGATTTTGGCCTCTCGGGGCCCTCCTTGGGGGCCTCTTGGGCAGTCTTCCGGCGCTGTGGGGCCTTCTGCGGCGCCTGGGGGACCTCTTGGGGACCAGCTGGCGGTTTCTGGGATCATCCTGGAGCGGAGGGCGCGAACTGTCACGTCACTTCGAATTCCCCCTTGTGGGGCTCTTTGGAGTCTCTTGGGCCGTCTTGGGGCCCTCTTGGGCTGTTTGGCAGCTCTCTGTGGGGTCTCTCGGACTATCTTGGCGCGGTTTTGGGAGCCCGAGAACGCTTAAACCCTGCAAGAACCTTTAGGAAATTAATGATTTTGGCCTCTCGGGGCCCTTTTGGGGGGCCTCTTCGAGCCCCCTTGGGCCGTCTTCCAGCATTGCTGCCCTTCTGGGGCATCTGGGGGGCCAGCTGGCGGTATCGGGAATCATCCTGGAGCGGAGGGCGCGAACTGTCAGTTCGAGTTCCCCTCGTGGGGCCCTTTTTGGGCAGTATTGGGGTCCTATTGGGCCGTCTTGGAGCCCTCTTGGGCTGTCTGGGAGCACTCTTGGGCGCCTCTTGGGCCATCTTGGCGCGATCTTTGGGGCCCTGTGGCCGGCTACCTGCGTGGAGACTCCGAAGAGGCGAGAACGTTGAAACCCGTCACAAATCTTGGGGGCATCAATGATTTTGGCCTCCTGGGATGTCTCTTAGATCTCTCTTGGACCGTCTTTCGGCACTGTGGGGCCGTCTGAAAGCCATATTGGCGACCTCTTCGACAATCCGGGGGCGCTTCGGGCCATCTTGGGCCTTCTTGGGGCCATCACCGATTTTGAACCATTGGGTCCCCCGCCCTTCCCGCACGCGCGACCCCCTGCATTGCCTTATAGAAAATGACGTCGGGCTCCAACTTTGCCTCCCGCATCTCTCTCAGCAGCGCCAGCGCCGGCTGCCATTGCTCGCCCTTCTCGCACGCGCTGATCCCAACGCTGTAGCTCATTAGGGCTGACCAGCGGCCTTCCGGCCGCGGAGTCTGCCCGCCATGGTGTGGACGTGGAAGTGGAGCGTCTCCGAGGCGTCGTGGGGGGGGAGGTTGGAGGGGACGGTGTGGATGGAGGAGGTGGCCGCTGAAGGGGGAGGTGGGCGAGGGATGCAGGCAAGCAGGCCTGAAAGCAAGAACGCGGTGGTGGAGGCCGTGTCAATGGGCGCGCACCAATGTAGACACGACATGGTGTGGACAGAAGCTACTTCTCACGCCGCGCTCTGTGTTCATCATAGCTCTTGCGGGGCGGGTCGCCGTGATGATATTATCTGCTTCTGGCCGGGGCCGAATGATACTCTTATCTGGTGATGTGGTGAGAATGGGGCCGGTGGGCGCTGGCATGTTTCTCTTCGTTCGTCTAGAGTTTAGACGGCCTACGAGGCCCGCAAGGGGGCGCCGAGACGGCCCGCACTGGGGCCGCTCAGGCGCCCGGTGCGCGGGAGGATCACCGATAGGACGCTGGCGTAACTGTCGATTTGGTTTGCCTGGGCTGTGCGTCAAGATGCTCCTCGGGGTGTCTGGACGCTCTTGGGGCCTTCTTCTTGGGCATGCTCGGGACATCTCTGCGGCTCCTGTCTGCCTTTGGGCTATTCTGGGCGCCCTCCTCCTCCTCCCCCCCCCCCCCGGGATTCTTCATCCCGTTGATCTTCGTTAAAGGGTGTGTCTGAACCCTCTTGGGGCCTCCTTCGGGTCATGCTCGGGACATCTCGGTGGCTTCTATCGGCTTTGGGGGCCATCTTGGGCGTCCTCGGCCTCCTCCCCTCGATTCCCTCATCCCGTCGATCTTCGATCGTCAGTCGTCGACGCTCCCCGAGAGACACGCATCCAAAGCCTCTTGGGGGCCGTTTGGGGTCTCTCGGGGTCCTCTTGGGCCGTCTTGGGTGCCCCTTGGGCCGTCTTAGGCGCCTCTGGGGCCATCTTGGGGCCGTCTTAGGGCCATCTTTGCCCGTTGTTGGGCGCTCTTGGGGCTGTCTTGGGTGCCTCTTGGACCGCCTCGGGCGCCTCTGGAGCCTTCGCGGGGCAACCTCGGGCCGTTCGGGGCCGTTCCAGGGAAGGAGTCCGGACTTCAGGAGCGGGCCTCCGGGTAGACTGCCGAAAGAGATGGGGATGGGAAGCATGGGTGAAACAACGAAGGAGCGGAAGACCTCAGACAATTGGATTTTTCTCCAAATAGGCGTGCCCTACAGGAGTCCTAGCTCATCATAAGTAATTGGTCTTTAGGACCCCCCCTTTTTACAATGGCCCCCCCCTCCTCTCGTCCTCCTCCTGTCCTCCTATCTATTTGGAGTCAACGCTGGCCGATATGTGACCCTGGCGGTGATTCCTTGTATTCGGCCCCGTGGCCCGTTGTTCGGAACCCGGGGCCATGAACAGTTGTCTCCGGACGGATGCCTACGCCGGGGGAAGGGTGCTGGACTTCCAAGGCAGGCCTCGGGGCAGAGCAGGGAAAGAGATTTGGATGGGAGGCGCGGGTGACAGAGAAGAGAGGGGGTACAAGCGACAAGCAAAAGAAGGTGCCTCAACGTGGAAGGCGCTGTGCACGGGTATGGAGACGTCGCGATGGCGGGCGCGGAGCGCTCGCCATCTCCGCTGCCTTTTCGGGTGGGCCTGCGATCAGTCTCTCGCCTCTCGTCCGCTCCCCTCTATTAGAGGCCATGTTGAGGACACTTACCTCTTGGGGGCCGTTTGGGGGCCTCTGTTCGGCCTCCTGGGGGTCTCTTGGGGCTGTCTGGGGGCGTCTTGGGTGCCTCTTGGGTGGGCGCGTCTTGGGGCGAGCTGGGGGGCCTGTTTGGCCGCCTTGGACGCTGTGAGGAAGAACAAACAAGACATAGTGAAAATGTGCGTTTCCCGGAGGGGATGCGGCGATTTTGGCCTCTTGGAGCTTTCCTGGGGGCCCTCCTGGGCTGTCTTGGGAGCCTCCTGGCCTGCCTTGGGGGCCTCTGGAGCTGTCTTGGGGCTCCCACTAGTGCTCTGAGGCCGTCTTGGCGCCCCCTCGAGCCTCTCGGAGCCGTCCCTGGGCTGTCTGAGGCCGTTTTTGGGGCATCTGGCCCCCCCTGAGCTGTTTTGGGGACCCCCCCTTGACCTGTTTTGGGGTCGGAACGGACGGTCAAGACAGAGACCCTTCTCGCAAGCAAATATCGCTGCATTGCAGAAGAGACTAGGGCTGACCCGCGGCCTTCCGGCCACGGAATCTGCTCGCCATGGTGTAGACTCCGCACAAGGGCCGCTCAGGCGCCTGGTGCACGGGAGGATCACCGATAGGAAGATGGAGTAACAGCCCATTTGGTTTACCTGGGCTGCGCGTTTGGAGCCTCCTCGGGGTGTCTGGACATTCTTGGGGCCTTCTTCGGGGCATGCTCGGGACATCTCTGTGGCTCCTGTCTGCTTTTGGGCTTTTTGGGCGCCCTCCTCTCCCCCCCTGGGGATTCTTCATCCCGTCGATCTTCGCTAAAGGCTGTGTCTGAACCCTCTTGGGGCCTCCTTCGGGTCATGCTCGGGACATCTTGGTGGCTTCTATCGGCTTTGGGGGCCATCTTGGGCGTCATCCGCCTCCTCCCCTCGTTTCCCTCATCCCGTCGATCTTCGATCGTCAGTCGTCGACGCTCCCCAAGCAATCATCCGAGGCCTCTTGAGGGCTGTTTGGGGGCCTCTTTTCGTCCTCCTGGGGGTTTCTCGGGGCCGCGGCCTTCCGGCCGCGGAATCTGCCCGACATGGTGTGGACGTGGAGCGTTTCCAGGGCCTCGCGGGGAGGGGAGGTTGGAGGGAGCGGTGTGGATGGAGGAGGTGGCCGCTGAAGGGGGAGGTGGGCGCAAGAACGCGGTGGTGGAGGCGGCCTCAATGGAAGCACGCCCAGGTAGGCACAACATGGTGTGGACAGGAGCTGCTTCTCACGTCGCGCTCTGTGTTCATCATAGCTTCTGCGGGGCGGGTCGCCGTGATCATTTTATCTGCTCTTCGCCAGGGCCGAATTATAACTTTATCTGATAGTGTGATGAGAATGGGGCCAGTGGGTGCGGGTATGTTCCCGCTCGTTCGTCTAGATTTTAGACGGTCCAAGAGGCCCGCAAGAGGGCGCTGAGACGGCCCAGGTCTCCAAGACGGGCCAAGAGGGCGCCAAGACGGCCCAAGAGGGCCCTGCGAACTCCTTAAAACGGGCCACAGTGCGAGGACACGAATCGACTTTTCGAGCTCACCGCCCCCAAGACTCCCACAGGGCCCAAGAGTCCCTCAAGACGACGCTGGAAGTTCGAACAGGCTCCCAGGAGGCCGCACAAGTGCCCTCCTGGGAGGCTCCCGAGAGCTCTCCGAGGGTATCCCAAGAAGCATTCTTGGGGCACCCTCGGAGAAGCTCTATTGGCTTTTGGGGCCATTCGGGGCGTCATCCGCCTCCTCCCTCGACCCTTCATCCCGTCGATCTTCGACCGTCAATCGTCGACGCTCCCCAAGAGACAAGTATCCAAGGCCTCTTGGGGGCCTCTGGGGTCTCTCGGGGCCCTTCTGGGCCGCGATCTGGGGCCGTCTTTGGCGCCTCTCGGGCCGCTCTTGGGGCCGTCTTGGGGCCATCTTTGGCCGTTATTGGGCGCTCCTGGGGCTGTCCATGGAAAACGGCTGTCTGGGGCCTGCGTTCTGCCTCTCACCTCTCGTCTGCCCCCTCTCTGTTGGAGGGGATTCTGTCGCCAACTAGGGCCTCTTAGGGGGCGTGTGGGGGCCTCTCAAGGCTCCCTTTCGGCTTCGAGGAGGCCTCTTGGGGCACTCTGGATCTCTCGTCTGCGCCGTTTGGGTCATCTCGGAACCGTCTTGGCCCGTCTTGGGCGCCTCTTGGGCCGTCTGGGGGCCGTCTTGGACCGTCTTTCTTGGGCGGCTCTTGAGGCTGCCTGGGGTGCCTTCTGGGCCGTCTTGGGGCCGTCTTCGCCTCTTGGGCCGTCCAGGGCATCTTGGGCCAATCTAGGTCGTGGACGCGCCGGGGACGGAAAGCGCGAGAATGCCAAACATGTATTTTTTTTTTGACGTGAGCGGGCCGATTTTTGCGTCTCGGGGCAATCCTGGGGACTCCTCGGGGGCCGTCTCCAGAAGCTCCTGGCCTGCCCTGGGGGCCGTTTGGGCCGTCGGAGCGGCTCGGAGCGCCCCTGGGGCTGTCGGGGTGACCTCTGGAGCTCTCGGAGCCGTCTTGGGGCCGTCTTTGGGCGCCCTCCTGAGCGGTTCGGGGCAGTCTTGGGGCCGTCGGGGCGGCCTCTGGAGCGTCTCGGAGCTGCCGTGGTGCCGTCGGGGCGCCCTCTTCAGCGGCTCGCCGGGAGCGCAGTCGGTGCAGAAACCCTTCTCGCACGCACTGTTGCCGGTATTATTGTAGGACAGGCTAGGGCGAACCCATGGATTAAATCCACTGTGTGCTGAACCTGGGGCTCGCACGCCGTGGGTGAACAGATCGTCGAAGTTGAACTGCTCGGGCGTCCCTGGGGCCGTGTCGGGGGTATGTTGGGCCTTCCTGCGAGCCTGTCCGGGGCATCCTGAAGGCCTCTGGCGGTTTTTGGGCGCCTCTGGGGCCGTTCCTGGGCTGTTCCCCAGAGTCTCTTCTCGGGGACAGCCTGGGAAACTTACTGTGCGTGTGAGGTTGCTGTCGAAAGGTCCCCCCTGCCATCCCTGAGGTGAGCTGCATGGTTGGCTGCAGGCTCGGGGAGCCCGGGCTGGAGGCTGTCTTCGAATATCCTGGGGAGGTCTGCGCCATCTCGGAAAGGTCCAGTGAGGGATCTCGTGGTGTTGGGGCCCGAAATCTCGTGGGCCTTTCCGAAGCCGTCCGTGCCCGTGGACGTCCCCACAAAGATCTACGACGGCCGGAAGAGGCCTCAGAAAGCTCCTGTGAGAGGATTGAGAGACCCCCCGGCGGATGCTACAACGGACCCCCCTGTTGTAGCATCC